ATAGCATACATGAGAAGGCAATCCTGTGGACCAAGCAGCATTGTGGCATGTCCACACACAGTCCAACACCTTACTCAAAATTAGACCGAATCTATTTTTTTCTAATCATTTAGCTGAATATTACCTGAATGCATTTATGGATTTCTTTGAATAAAAAGTTAATTTTTCCAGACATTTCCCAACAACGTATGTGCATGATATAAGTACAGATAATCCTTGACTTACAACAGTTTGTTTAGTGACTGTCCAAAGTTACAATGGCACGGAAAAAAGTGACTTATGACAATTTTTCATAGTTACGACATTTGCAGCATCCCTAATTCAGATGCTTGGCTGCTGGTTCATATGATGACTACTGCGGTGTCCCAAGGTCATGTGATAACCTTTTGCAACCTTCTCACAAGCAAAGTCAATGGGGAAGCCGGATTCACTTAACAACCGGGTTACTAACTTATCAGCTGCAGAGGTAGGTTCACTTAACAACTGTGACAAGAAAGGTCGTAAAATGGGGCAGAACTCTCTTAACAAATGTTTTGCTTAACAGAAATTTTGGGCTCAGTTGCAGTCAAAAGTCAAAGATTACCTGTAACTCATCCCAGTACCCTTATATGTATTTCATCATAAAATAATGTAAACATGCACGTGCTTATATAAAGATGAATTTCTATCTATTAAATCACTAGCCAATGATTAGTTTCCTTTCAGGAAGGTGTCGGCAACATTTTTAAACCAGCAGGCATGTCTGGAATTCTGAAGGCGTGTTGAGGGCGGTCTCATAAAGTAGCGACTATGGAGCTATCGGCAGCCCACCTATCACTCTTCTATCCGCTCACCTCGGCTTCTACAGTTACTAACCTTCTCTTTCACTTTTGAAAATAAGTTTTCGACAACCATTTTCATCTGTTCAGCTCTTTGTTTCTGAACAACAGCTGCTCTTTTCAGGGCGTTCCTCCGTTCCACTTTCCTTTTCTTTTCAGCCAAAATCTTCTGCTTATATTCACCAACTTGCCTCTTCCATTCAGCAATATTCTTCTCCATTGTCTGCAACAGAAATTTTAAAATGTGTTCTGAGTACAGGAAAATTAATGTGAATGATGACTAGAATTGACATATAATGTACCTTAACGAGACCCTAAAGATATTTGTCTTTATATTTTTTAAAAAATATCCTACCTTTATTATCTTTATAAATAACTCAAGATGATAAGCATATCTAACACTCTTTCCTTCTATTTTTCCTACAAGAACCCTGTGAGATGAGTTGGGCTGAGAGTGGCTAAATGTGAATAAGTTCCATTACTGGATCAAGGCTATTTAAAATGTACCAGTGTGATAAAGTATTTTGAATATCTAGCTGACATAATAAGTACTGAAAATATGAATACTAATGGAGGCTACCTGACTCAAGCATACATCAACTCTATATTCAAGGATAAACAGAAAGCCTGAGAAAGGGAGGGAAATATTCTGCTACTGCTTTCCGGAAAAATATTATTTATCTTGTACACAATCAAAAGTCATGCCATTTTATTAGTAGTGTAAATCCTATGCACATCTACTCAGAAATAAACTCTTTTTTGCATTCAAAGGGATTACTTCCAAGTATTGTTAAATGGATCTATACCCTTTAATTTATTAATAACCCTATAAACCAGGATAACAGGTTTTTGAATCCAGTACTAAAAGGAAGTCATTCTGATCAGATCAAATCAGTCTGGTTTATGTTTTTTTGTGGAACATAAAGGAAGCACAAAAGTACTGAAAACTGTTTGAAGCAAAACATGGATATTTGATCCAGATTACGAAATGAAATTGGGAAGGGAAGAAAAAGATTGGAAAAATGTGAGTAGGTCCAGTGTAATATGCCACACGGGCACAGTTGTGGTGACAATGGAAAGGAAGCGGGGGACCAAAGGAAGAGACAGCACTAGTAAGATGATAAGAGGAGGGGAAAGAAAGGGACGGGAGGGGAGGGGAGAGGCTGCAAATTTTATTTCTGCTGAACCAAGGCCTAATGCTTATGCTTATTTCGGGCTCAAACTACCTCCATCCTAGTCTAGAAGGCTTTTTACAAGTTTCTCTAGTATGGAATCCCCTAGGTAACCAGTAGTCATATATTTCAATTAAAGTAGTGTCTACATGCAGAGGAGAACAACACTGTCTTTAAAAAAGCACTGTACAAGTACAATCATTTTATACAACAGCATCAAGTAACAAATCAAGCTGAGGAGTGCAAAAATGTTGCTTTAATTGGATCAGACAATCTAAAGAGGAAATATTTTAAGCTACTATTCCAATATAAACTTTCCAGTCCTACACTTCCATTTCTGTAGCCACCAAGCCAGGTTAGAGCAGGCCTGTGTAAGTTGAAGCCTGCCAAGTCAAATGTAGCCCACGCAATGTATGATAATCTTCCAAAAATGCAAAAAAAATGTTTTTGCATCTGCTTGGAAATACATGGAACGAAATTGTGAATAATTCATGTTAAAATACAAGGAGGTTAATTCGGCATAAATGGATATGCCATTTGCCCATTTTAAGGACAAATGTCAGTAACAATCAATATCACTGTTTTATTTCCTGCTACCGCTAGATGTCACCATCACAGTTCTGTAATTTTGACAAAAAATATGACAATTGACATAAAACAACTTTATGGACAGAATGTTCTCATTATTTACAACATCTGTCAATTGTGGTTACACTTAATAATACAATATTTTAGAATGTAAATTAAAAATAAACAATGGGGTTGTTTTCTATTTTTTTAAAAAATACAAAGAAAAAAATTCAAATTTCAATGCAATTTTTAAATGAAATACGTCAGAGATTAAAAAGACATAAAGTTTTCAGAATTTTTTCCATTTAGCCATGGTAAAGATTCTAACTTTTTTCCCCCAGAAAATTTATTTAAATCCTTGGTTTGGAATCTGAACTTGGGTTACTGGCCTTCACAAGCTGACATTTAGCTATTTTCTGTCTCCAAGAAAAACATGTTTTGATGGAATTAAAGAGATCTATTAGCAGATATATTTGTGACTGCCAAATAGGAAAGGTTTTTTTTAAAAGAAAGCAGCCCATTCAATTGTATTTTGCATAAAAGTTTACATAACTACTTTCTCAACTCAGAGATGTCCACCTGTTTATTAAGGAAACAAAAATTATAAAAAACTAACCTGAAATTTTGCTCTTAGCTGATTATTTTCTTCTTCTTTTTTTTCTACCTGAGACTGTAGATGAGTTTGTACTGTTTGTATTGCTTCAGAATGGCGGTATGTTTTTTGTATCTTAGCCTAAAATATAAAAGAAACGCCCAAATAAATTCCAAAAAGCTGCATAAAAAACAAATTTTGTTTGTTTTTAAGTACTGAATTAATAACAGCTGCATATGGCATGATCACTGCGAGATATGCTGAAGTTTTAATTCAGTGTATATGTGCTCCCCATCCTTCTACTAATCCAGTTTAAATGCTTATATTGCATACAGATCGATATGAATAAGGAAGCAAGTGTTGAAACCAGATAATTTAATTTACAAACTAATATAGACTTTTTAAAAGACAAAAAAATTGTTTTGAAAAATATAGAAATAGATAATGCAGATTAAAACCAAATAAAAAACAGTTGAATATAGGCAAATATATAACAAATTAAAATATCAAATGATTAATATATTTTAATACATCATTGATATTTTATATTGTGAGAGTTCGTATCAATTCAAGCATTTTCTGTTAAACTTTAAAGGTATTTGGTTAACAGAAATTGAATTCTTAAAAAGAGTGATTATGGATAATAAACAATACTTTAAGAGAATCCTGTAAATTATATGTAGATTATACAGTATGACCAATCAATATACACTATATTGCCAAAAGTATTCGCTCACACATCCAGATAATCAGAATCAGGTGTTCCAATCACTTCCATGGCCACAGGTGTATAAAATCAGTACCTAGGCAGGCAGACTGCTTTTACAAACATTTGTGAAAGATGGGTCACTCTCAGGGGCTCAGTGATTCCAGCGTGGAACTCTGATAGGATGCCACCTGTGCAACAAATCCAGTTGTGAAATTTCCTTGCTCCTAAATATTCCACAGTCAACTGTCAGCTGTATTATCAGAACGCGGAAGTGTTTGGGAACGACAGCAACTCAGCCACAAATGGTAGGTCACGTAAACTGACGGAACGGGATCAGCGGATGCTGAGGCGCATAGGGCGAAGAGGGCGCCAACTTTCTGCAGAGTCAATCGCTACAGACCTCCAAACGTCATATGGCCTTCAGATTAGCTCAGGAACAGTGTGCAGAGAGCTTCATGGAATGGGTTTCCATGGCTGAGCAGCTGCATCCAAGCCATACATCACCAAGTGCAATGCAAAGTGTCGGATGCAGTGGTGTAAAGCACGCCGCCACTGGACTCTAGAGCAGTGGAGACGCGTTCTCTGGAGTAAAGAATTGCGCTTCTCCATCTGGCAATCTGATGGACGAGTCTGGGTTTGGCAGTTGCCAGAACGGTATTTGTCTGACTGCATTGTTCCAAGTGTAAAGTTTGGTGGAGGGAGGGGGATTATGGTGTGGGGTTGTTTTTCAAGAGCTGGGCTTGGCCTCTTAGTTCCAGTGAAAGGAACTCTGAGTTCCAGTGAAAGGAACTCTTGAGTTCCAGTGAAAGGAACTCTGAATGCTTCAGCATACCAAGACATTTTGGACAATTCCATGCTCCCAACTTTGTGGGACCAGTTTGGAGTTGGCCCCTTCCTCTTCCAACATGACTGTGCACCAGTGCACAAAGCTAGGTCCATAAAGACATGGATGACAGAGTCTGGTGTGGATGAACTTGACTGGCCTGCACAGAGTCCTGACCTCAACCCGACAGAACACCTTTGGGTTGAATTAGAGCGGAGACTGAGAGCCAGGCCTTCTCGTCCAACATCAGTGTGTGACCTCACAAATGCGCTTCTGGAAGAATGGTCAAAAATTCCCATAAACACTCTCCTAAACCTTGTGGACAGCCTTCCCAGAAGAGTTAAAGCTGTTATAGCTGCAAAGGGTGGACCGACGTCATATTGAACACTATGGATTAGGAATGAGATGTCACTTACAGTAAGTTCATATGCGAATAAAGGCAGGTGAGCGAATACTTTTGGCAATATAGGGTATTTAAAACCAAATCCCTAAATTTTATGTATAAAACTATAGTCTAAAAATGGTTTCCTAATATAATTGAATTCAACATCAGATTTACTAATTTAACATGAAGTTTTTCCAATTTAGTTAGACCTTCTTCCACAGAGCATATGAAAGATCTTTTTCAACAAAAAACATAGAAAACCCTTGTAGCCATTAACACATACAATGTGCAATCTGTATATTCTGAATGAATCTGTGGGTTAATGAAATATAATAAAATATCTCAGAATGAAACAGGATGATGAGTTTCAAAATGTGTTTCTTTCTGTGATGATTTTTTAGTATTTTTGAGCTTTACCTTGTTGCCACCATATCTAAAAATAGGGAAACAGGGTTAAGTCTTTTCTAAATTACTATTTTATCTTCTCTAAATGCCCTATTTTTTACAGCAATAAATGGCTTCATACTTTTCCTAGTCACTTGTGGTTGAAAGGTTTCAACCCTCATCTTCCATGGTGCATTGCTGGAATTTTTCTTTCAGCACAGGGAAAAGTACGAAGCTCAGGAAAAGAAAAATAGTAATTAAAAAGAAAAGAAACCTCATCTTGAGCCTTTTATTTGCAAAACAGTAGTCATATCGGTTAGCAATTGTAGCATTTATGATAAAAAAAATTTACGAATTTTTATTTTTATGATTTTACTCCATTTTTACTTCCAAATTAATTCTCAAAGCAGCTAATTTATTTATGAAAATAAATGCAGGAGCCAAGAAATAAAGGCTGTTTGATACTTTAATGAAAAATCACAAGAAATGTTAGTAAAAATGTAGAGTACAAGAAAAAAAATTACTTCAAACATTTAATCAGCATAAATTCTTACGTAATAAATTTTAGATAAATAATGGATAGATAAAATACAGCAGTATATATATTCAAATATAATTCTTACATTCCCATATAGCTGGAAATTCAGTTCAGTATAGTATAATTTCCAGATATGGGATTGAAGTTTAAAACAGGCAAATACATCCTGAAGACAAAAGATCCCAAAAGCAATGAGATTATCATACAACCTTATAGCCAGACACAGCTTCTTGTTATGTAAATAAAACATTTTTTTTAAAAAAAATATTCCTTGAAGAAATACGTTAACTTACTTTTTCTTGCTGAAGCTGATCTGAAAGCTCTAAAATATGCTTCTCTTGTTGAATCACTTCATTTCTGAGGCTCTTCAGACACAAGGAGAAAAAAGACTCATTATCAGGAAAAGTTTGTGAGATTGTTATTTTTAGATGAATTATATCCTTACTAGTAGGTATAACGTCTAGGGGTCATTCGCATATCAAATAGCCAACATTTATTACTTAAGTGTGCTTAATTCCCCCCTCCCAAATACTGAAAATGAGCCAGTTTAGTGTAGTGGTTTAGGCACCAGACTAGAGACCAGGAGTTCTAGCCCTGCATTAGGCATAAAGTTAGCTGAGTGTCCTTGGGCCAGCCAAACTTTCTGAGTCCTAGAAGTGAGGCAATGGCAAGCCACTTCTATAAAACCCTTGCAAAAAAACCCCAGCAGATTTGCCCAGGTAGTTGCTAATAATCAAAACTGACTCAAAAACATGGGCACATACCAACAAGCACGCATGGGCCACTGCATGCATGCACCCACCTACCCACAGACAGACTGAGGGAAGGAGGAAGAGAGACTGCTACTGAAAACGTAACAGATATCAAGAGAACTCTACCAATGGCAGTCAAAAAACAAAAGATCTGGAATTGTTGCACAGGACCTTCAAAACTATTAAAAATAATCAATATGATTCTTCATGTATTTAATCATTTTCTCCATGTATAACTCTGAATAATAATTTAGTAACAAGTATGACAAGGTTTTGTCAGAAATGCATATTGCCTTGGGGTCTCAGGCTTTGCATCCAGCCTGAGGCCAATATTTCAACCTGCCTTCAGCAATTTCCTTATACCATTGGTACCTAAGTAAGCAAGCAGTCTCTAGGATAACCTGGTTGTGATGTGACACACCAGACTCAGACAATGAGGTTGGGGAAGAATTTGAGCCAGTTCTGGAGCCTGGGGAAATCTCTGATGGATGCTCAGCATCGGACACAGAGATAGAGCCAGGCCCATCCGGCCTTTCCGAGGGAGAGAGGTAGCTGCCTTCGAGTCAGAGATGAGTGAGGAGGAGGAACAACTAGGGCCTATTCCAGATGCATGTATGCACAGAGCAGATAGGAGAGGTGAACAACAAAGGACAATGAGTTGGCTTGGGAAGCAAAACAAATGGGGATGCTGAGTAGCCCCTTCCTGGCTGGGGAATAAATAGGAGGAAAGGGGAGTGGTTTGTTGCAGACAACTGTTTGCATTTCTGGAAACTTTGCTCCTTGTGAATTTCATGCAACAAAGAATGTCTTGCCAGAACTGAGATTTGTCTATTTCTCTGTTCGAACTGACTTAATTTGCAGCCTCCCACCTGGGAGCTCACAGCCTTGCATTTATCACAATGGCCTGATAAGGACTATTGTTTCAGTTAACTTCTTGCAGGACTGTTGCCTGTTGTGATATATTGCATGACTGTTGGTGAATGTGTTAATTCCCAATGTGTAAATTAAGAGGGGTTTTTCTTTGCGAGGTGTCTGTTTCTTGCTTCTGCAAAGGCTGGGTCAGAACAGGTTGCAAAAAGAACTTACTTCAACATAGATTTTACTTTCTGATAAAGTCTGATCCAAATCTTTTGTCTCATTACCGATAATCTAAAAATAAGAGAAACTGAGTCAAATTGCTTCATTGTCATTTAAAAACATACAACATAATAGTTTGATATAGTTCCTGAAGTATCAAATTCTTCATCTTCCTAAAAGAGTAGGAAACATGCAATCCTTCAGATGCTCTGAACGTTACAATTCCAGCATAGCCAGTAACAAAGAATGCAGGTTTGCTGCATCTGGAAAGTGAATGATCACCCATTTCTATTAAATATATAAATATGTGCTATATTTATACATGATTTAGAGAACAAAGAACAAAGCAAAACTTACTCCCATTACCAAATGCTAACTACAGAACTCATAAAAACAGAACTCCCCAAAATGTCTCCATCATCCAGATCATGGTTGTCCCAAGGGTGCTTTTTCAAGGAAAAGCAAAGTCTAGGTGCCTTTTGAAAAAGCACCTTTGGGACAACTACCACAAATCCATCTTCTGTTAATGACTTCTTTTGCATTCATTTTTGCTTATTCAGGCAATAAAGGGTAACTTATTTATGAATTCTGCATTTGCTTTTTTCCCTTGAGGGATTGGAGAAGCACACAATATTTAAAAGGAAAAATCTAATGCATGACACAGTAAACTACCTATTTTGTCTACAAACAGCTATTTTGCTACAAGAGGAATACCCAGGATTTCTTTCCCCTTTGGTGAGGGGCATAATATAAGTAGATTTATTTCGAGAAAGTAAATACTTCTGCTTAATGTTCATACAACATTCTAGGATGGAATGGATGGAATGCTTATTTACAAATTGATCTAATAAGCCATTCTTAAATTACTCTGTCATTGAGTGGCTTCTTCAGATATGTAAAGCAATATAAATTTAGGGATTACTAAACCTGAAAACATCATTACTCTGATAGGTAATAGACAGGTACAGAAAATTTGGCATCTATGTTACATTTTTCTGTGAATGCACAACTTCCCTTTGAAATCCTACATCAAAACAGTTACAAATATTTATTTCCCTTTTAATTCATGCTATACTTGGTCACAATAATTTACATGCTTCTTACTTCTTTTTCCTTGCTTGACTTTAATAGCCAGCTTAACAATTCCTTCATTTTTTGAATAGCTTCTAGCTCCTTTATCAGTAAGTTCTCTTGCATAGAAATTGTTATTTCATCAGAAGCAGAAATACAACAGGCCTAAAAAAAATGGTTAAATGAATCTCCAAAAACTCTTAAGTTTTTAAGGTCAGTTTTATCGTTAACATTATTATTTTAAAATGAGGCATCTTGAAATACAGATAATTTACAGGTAATATTATTCAAATAGAAGAACAGCTTGCTACAATGCATATGACTACTGGAGCATTAAAAAAAACTTTAGCAAAATTAAACTTCAAATCAGATATGAACTGATAATCTGAAGCAATGTCAATAATGTTCAATATATCCAAATATTTTTTTAAACCCAGCCCAAGCTTCATATTTTTTTTGCAGTCTCTTGTGCTGAACTGAACACTGAAAGATCTGTTGCCTTTCTAAATTTAGTCAGAGGATAGTAGACAAAGCGAAAACAATCAATTCCCATGATCACAATTCTGCTCGTAATTCTTATGATCTGCAGTTCACCTGATCTAGCAATGTTTATAGATAACTAGAGGATGCGGTGGCTCAGTGGCTAAGATGCTGAGCTTGTTGATCAGAAGGTCGGCAGTTCAGCGGTTTGAATCCCTAGCGCAAGTAGAAAAACGCAAGTAGAAAAATTAGAAAACACCTTTGGTGGGAACAGCGTGTGCCTTCAACGTTTAGTCATGCCAGCCACATGACCACGGATATGTCTTTGGACAACACTGGCTCTTCCGCTTTAAAACAGAGATGAGCACCGCCCCCTAGAGCTGGAAATGACTAGCACGCATGTGCAAGGGAACCTTTACCTTACCTTTATAGATAACTAACTGAACTTACTTTTGCAATTCTAACAAGACTTTCTTTAAACGATGGCAAAAACATTTCTGCCGAGTTAACTGCCAACTCTGCCTCGTGAAGCATTTCCTGAAAAGCAACTTTATCTTTCATAGCATCTTCCCACGACCTAATTATAAAAACAATGCAAACAGAAATGCATTCTGTATTATAATATATACAAAAACTGTTTGTCCAACCCTTTATATATATTAAAACATTGGTAATACATGCTTAATTATGGTTTATTGAATATATTGCAACATATTAAATGGTAATTTAATATGTTGCAATATATATGTTGCAATATATATGTTGCAAAATATGTTGCAAAGCACTGAGGAAGAGCTAAAAGCGCTCACGTTACAGAGTAAAGACTGAACAAACTATAAGAAGAAGCAGGTCAGGAAATGGATGGGGAGCATTACTTTATTCTTCTCCCGATACTCTCCTTGACTCCATGAATGTATACTTTGCAGTCTTGAAATAAATCTCTGTTTATAAGACCTGTGACTGGATTCATACAAAACACAAAGCCAAAAGCAAATTGCGGTGATGTCTGAATCCATTCTTTGGACTGTCACATAATCTTTTCATTTAAAAATATAAAGATACTGTTTAAGTTATTCCAAGCATTTTAATTCCAAGCACTAAATATTTTAATTATGTAATTTCACTATGCAATCTTTTACAAATCTTCCAACTATGATGGATATCTAGAAAATAGGAAGAAATATGGAGTTCTTGATTCTCTCTGAATTAATGTTCTTCGTGAAGATTTTTTATTATCAGATTAGATAGTATCACTAATACTGACATAGGGATGTGAGCTTCAATAACATGAATAAAACTTTCATTTTGTGATTTTCTATGATGTCATATAGGATGATGTGGTATATTCTAAGTAGAGCAGTCCTCTTAGGCTGCCTGTACTTTTTGAAATAAAAGCATTTGTTTATTTATTTGTATCCTGCCTTTAATATTTGTATAAATAACTCAAGGTGACAGACATGCTTAATATTTCTTCCTCCTCTTATTTTCTATTTTTACAACAACAATCCTGTGAGGTGAGTTGGGCTGAAAAAGAGGAGCTGGCCTGAAGTCATTGAGCTGGCTTTCATGCCTAAGGCAACATAAGGCAGGGACTAAAATTCACAGGCTCCTGACTTCTAGCCTGGCATTTTAACTACTACACCAAGCTGTTTTTTTAATGTTTTACAATAATAGTTATTTGAGGTTATCTGAAGGAATGCTTCTTTGCAGTCACTTTCACACATCCCAACAGGTCCATTAGAAGGGGCATATTACAGATTCTGTCCACTAGATAATGTCACCTGATAGAATCCAGGAGGAGGGTCTTTTGTAATGCTGCACCTGTCCTATGGAACAGAATTCCCTTACCACCCAGCCCCGAGAGCCCCCTGGAAGGGTCTAAAAATACAGCTATTCCAGGGGTGTCAAACTTGTATCGTCATGGCATCATCATGTGACCTTTTCCCCCTTCGCTAATCCGGGCATGGGCGTAGCCTCGTGTGATGCATCCGGCCTGCAGGTTTGACAGCCTTGGGCTGTTCCATCTGGTCTGGGAATCAAATAGCAATCTGGAGCCCATAAAACAACTGCATTGTTCTTAAATCAATTGTGCTCTCCAAGTGATTGTGCCTATGTTTTAATTGTTCCCAACTGATTTAATGTTTTGTCTTACTTATACAGCTATTTTATGTTTTGGTTTTTTGGTAGTATCTTTTAATTGTGAGCCACCAAATCACAAATATAAGATAGATAGACATATAAATTGAATGAATTTAATTTTAATAAACTAGGATCCAATGAAATTCTGGACATAAATTTCTTTTTAAGAGTCATCTAAACATTTAGTCAGTCTAGGAAAACTAAATCTGTAGATGGTAATCTTCTATTTAGGAAAAGAAACACACAAAAACACACATTTTCAAGCTCTGTAAAGCTCAGTGTTTCAAATAAGGAATGGGATAAACAAAAAGAAAGAAAGAAAATCCTAAATTGTCATTTATGTCATTTATGTCAGCAAACGAGATTCATACCGGAATTTGTAAATTGATTGTGTTTGCTACCAATAAATGACACCGAGATTTACATATTTATGAATTTTTTTCTCACGGATCGATATGATTTTAAAAGTACATTGCGATGGTATTAAAAAAAGGAAATCCTGAATCTGTACACCTACAACTAACCAACCACATATTGTGTTTGCAATAGATACTGAATCTTCAAGCTCTTCTCTCACAAATATGACATGGTCAATGATAATCTATCCAACATTTCTTTTGGTATTTTAAGAGAAAGGGAATGAAAAAGATTTTGTAAAACTGAGTTTTAAGAGCTAAAGTATTCAACAACAGTTTGTTTTAAAATCCAAAAGTATTTATATGTATACTTTATTGTTTTCAAGACGACTCTGGAGAAAAAAATTATCTACAAGATTTTCTAAAGCTTTGGTCTCAACTTTTAATCTAGCTTTCCACAATCTATATATAGGCAGGATATTCTTGGCGTGATAGATATAATAATAATGATAAAAAACAAATACATTCTAAAGAAAAAATATCTGAGTTATACGAAATGCCCTAAAACCCCTTTTAACACCAAGCTCAAAGCATACCGTTTTGTTTCACTTGTGTTCAGGCTTTCTTCCAAGGTGCTCTCCTGGGGTTTATCCTCAAGGGATGGCAAGGGTTCTCTCATCCTGCTTCGATGTTTATTCATAAATCTGTTGTATGAGATCCAGTTTTCCTTCAGCGATTCAACCTCTTCACTTTCTGCGGGCTTATAAAATATTGATTTTACTTCCCTCTCTATTTTTCTTCCTCCATCCCCACACCCGATTTCCTAAAGCAAACTTTACATCAAAATTATGAGAGTCCGAGATGCTGATGCTTCCCTCTCTTCCTCCTGACACAACTTATTATTAAGAAATAATGTTTAACCAAGACCAATATTTAATAAGAATATTTAGCCAAGAACAGCAAACTACTAAAGACATATAGATTTACTGAACCTTTTATCAAGTCATAATAGGTGGCTAATTGTAAAATTGCTATAACTATAATCAGTTGTTATTATATAAAGATTCAAGATACCAACAGAAGAAAACTGGTATATTTTCTATAATTTCTGTACTGATAGGATAAAAGGAAGGAAATACTTATCTTCTATATCCTACTTGGCTTTTAATAAAAGAAATAATCTTCAGCCCTTCCAGGTAAGCCAGATAGGAAACACAACCAGACGAGCTAAATCTACTTTATTATGACTAAATTAGCAAAATTTACAAACCTGAAGGTACAAACCTCAGGGGAACCACTTTTAGCTGTCTGATCAGTTAGGTCAGGCTCTTTCTAAGCTACTTTTTCTGTTCATTAAGTGACTACGGGCTCCTCCCTCTTGTCTGATCATCCTATAGGTGGCATTTCTTTTTCTTGTCCCCCAACATCATCCACAGATTACCGTATATACTCAAGTATAAGCCGAGTTTTTCAGCCCACTTTTTGGGCTGAAAAAAGCCGCCTCGGCTTA